CAAACACACTCCCTCCCTGTCTCTCAACCAGTCCGTTTTCAGATCCAGGGTCCATAGCTTAGAGGAGAGACGGGGCCGCCTTGCAGAAGAATCCTGCAACACAAGAGGGAGTCTAGACAGCAGTCATTCATCTGCCCCTCCCCAAGGAGATCTAGCTCATTTACTTGAGAAACTGCACACCGGAGAAAGAAGAATCCCTGGATGTTTTGAAGGCTGTGGGATACAAGGTCCAAGATAACACTGATACCAAGGAACTAAAATGAGATTATGGCTCCATGTCAGAGTGTGCGCAGTGGCCAGGACACCAATGAATCCCTGGCCCAGGCCCGTCTCTCAGTGGTCTCGTGTGCCCGGGCAAAGCTGGTGTTCATTTGCCTTGTCCTAACTGGCAGAACACGCCACACTGGCCCCTCGACATGTGAATTCGACACAACAATAGGAAAGTCCTCAACACCGACACTCCCCAGCCAAAACAGTAAATTATAACACTGCATCCAGTATGGAATGGAGAGGTCAGTGCCACCTTGAATAATTAAAAGATAAAGGGGTGGTTGGTCTACACCTCATTCCCATTTAATTCACCAGTATGGACTGTGCAAGAAAACTGGATCACAATGGATCACAGTGGACTACTCCCCAAATAACCCAAGCACAGTACCCAGTGCTGTGGGAGATTTGATATCTTTAAAGAACAGAACTGCTCAGCCTCTGGGACTTGGCACACAGGTGTCAATCTGGTGAGCACACTCTTCAGCAGTCACTGCTAGGCAGGGTCAGAAGCAGTTTGCATGCACCGCAGACATTCACGGTCTGACCCTATGTCACAACATGGTCCAAAGGGACTCTTAATCATTTAGAATTCTTATTTTTATTTTTTAGAGACAGGGACTCACTTTGTGGCCCAGGCTGGAGTGCAGTGATGCGATCATAGCTCACTGCAGCCTTGACTTCCCGGGCTCAGGCGATCCTCCCACCTCAGCCTCCTGAGTAGCTGGGACTACAGGTGTGTGTCACCGTGCCTGGCTAATTTTTTAAATTTTTTGAAGAGACAGGGTCTCGCCATCTTGCTTAGGCTGGTCTCCAACTCCTAGACTCAAGTGATCTTCCTGCCTTGGCCTCCCAAAGCCCTGAGATCACAGGTGTGGGCCACTATGCCTGACCAAGACATTCTCCAGAACACCACACTGGTCCACAACATTGATGACGTTGTATTACTTAGATCAGATGCCCTGACGTGATAAATCTTATAAGGATTCATGGACCTTCCATGTCAGTGAAGTTTTTAGGGGTCCGGTGGTCTGGGCTATGCCAGGACAAGGACTCCAAGGTAAGAGACAAGTTAGTGATTGCACCTCACACTTCTATTGCAGGTAGGCTGCCTTGCGTTCTGGAGATGGTATAAGCCACTCAGGAAATACTGCTGTGACTCAAAACGCTGCCACGTTTGAGAGGTTTCAGAGCATAAGTGGGGTCTCTAACAGACCCATGATGTGACAGCAATGGCCCTGCCACTTTGGCCACAAAACCCAGCAGCCCCCAGGGTCCTTGATGTGTAATGTGGTAGGTAAGGACCCGGGGTGAAGTCCTGGGAAAGCCTCCACAGATAAGTCAGTGCAGACACCTAGCATTTGGGAGCAGGCCATGCCATCTACAGAACGGAAGCGTAACGAGAGGGCCCAACCTAGCTCCTGGCCCTGGTGGCAGCTGTGTGTCACCAAGAGACATCACTGTCTATGACACCAAAGCATCTCCCCATAGTGGTGTGCTGTGAGACCACCACAGGCCCAGTGAACAAGGGAAGGGCTCCTGACCTCTGTGACCAAACCCAAGCATGTCTAGAGGACACAGCACCCAACATGTGGCCCAATCCCCCATGACATGCATCTCCATTGACCAATGATGTCCTCACCTCACTCCCGCCATCACCATGACACACACCTCTGTTGACCATGACGTCCTCACCTCACTCCC